AATTCCAGCAGCCGTTCTGTATATGTTTTAGCCTTCTGTCCCCTAATAATCTTTGTTGCTCTTCTCTGCACTCTTTCTAGAGTCTCAACATCTTTTTTACATCGTGGTGGCCAAAACTGGAAGCAGTATTCCAAGTGTGGCCTTACCAAGGCATTGTAAAGTGGTGCTCTGACATGACTGTAGTAGTAGTAGTTAAATGAACATATTTCTCAACAAATGTGTATAGGGTTATATATTGCAACTTAACTTGCCCATCAAAAAGGGAAACAGTCCTTTCCACAATCCACCTCTACTGCAAAACACTGAAATGGAATACAAAGGATCTGTTTTAAGGAGTTTTGGATCCCTGGATTACACACAAGCAAGCAACATCTATTAGTATTTCATAATCCATTTAAGAACATGCAGCTGACACTTCATGTTTATAGCAAGTCATACTGCAAGGCTGATGCAGATGCCTGCAGGGTATACTTAGTACTCCTAGAACTCAAAGATGACTGGCACCTGTCAGATTCTATTAAATGCTGAATATCAGCAGAAGTCTGTTGCTCCCTCACCTGTCTAAGAGACTCCTTCCATTATATATTATGAGTCACACTGTCCCTGTGCACTTCAGCTTGCATTTCTGCTGCTACCAATCAATCTTGATCATGGGCTCTAAGTGTATTGTACGTCTTGCCCATTTCCACACATCCGGCCAAGATCCACTGCTATTATCTGGATTATCCTTGAATCAACTCTCACATTTCTCTCTTTGACTATTTGTTTTTTGTGTCTAGCAGACCCCCCCCCCCAACATCTAGGACAGTGTTTCTCAACCTTGACAATTTTAAGGCATGTGGACTTCAACTCCCAGAATTCCACAGCCAGCATTGCTGGCTGTGGAGTTCTGGGAGTTGAAGTCCACATGCCTTAAAATTGTCAAGGTTGAGAAACACTGATCTAGGAGGAAAAAGGAAATAATTCTGATATCAGGAAAGTGCTGTTTTAATTTCAGGACTCTGAACCTCACAGGTGGTTTGATAGAATTACATTGTTGCAGAAGTGTGCGTACCATTGGCTGCTTTAATTAATATTCAATCCCTTGATAGAATGCATCTTCCAACTGAAGGGAGAAGGTGGCAATTTTCAGTCATCCTCTTCTGGGAACCCCCATCCCAATTCCTAATGAACTCTAAATGGTCACACTGGAGACAGGATTGCAAGAATGAGAAAGAATCTTTCCCTTCTCATTGTCAATTGGAAGCAACTTTTAGCCTGAAATTCTGAGCACACTTAGTTGATTAAAAAAAGAAAATAAATCCTCACAGTATTGCATTAGTGGGGTCATTTATGAATGACTATGCTTATGAATAAATATGGTGAAGTTATTAAAATTTCATCTGAAAAAGATTAGAAGGCAGAAAGGCCAATGCCCATTTTACTTTTCTTAACCAATGATTCAATCTGGGTTAAAAGTTATTTTTATCTCCTTCTAGCAAATGTAAACATAGCATGATTCTTAGGTTCCAGGATTCGTGTAGTAGAGGAGCAGGAAGATTTTAATGTATCAATAAGGGTAGAGTTTGCTTTAAAAAGAGGACAAGAAGCAGTTTAAAACTGCCTCTTTGAGATTGCTAAATCATTGGGAAAATAGGATTAGCAAGTGCCCCATATTTTATGAGGGGAGCCATTGGCCTTAAAAAGTCTACATTTTGTGGACTCCATCACATATCCAAAAGACTGGTTCTCTATCATTCATGTTTTGCTTTTTTCCTGCAAATATAAGGAAATTGATGCAATATCATTCTGCAAGAGAAGAGGAGCTATTTCTACCCTTATCATTTAAAAAAAAACAAAAATCCAAAGAACTATTGGATTCCCCTTCAGCATACAACTCCCCTCCCCAGGCCTAAGTTGTTAGCCTGTGCTCATCCAGTAACATCACTGCATCATTGGTCATTAACTCTTATGGCTTCTAAAGGGCAAAATATTTTTTAAAACTCTTATCCTGACAAGATCCCAAAGGTTTGTCTATTAGGGACATATTGTGATTAAAAATTGCTTCCTTCTCCATCTCAAATTAGAATCCCATAGAAAGTAATGATCATATATTTTTTTAAAACTCTTTTTGTTCTACAGAATTCCATAGCTCAGACCTTTTAGTTCACAGTGTTTCAAATTTTTAAAAATGTTGCCTTAGAGAGCCTTCACTGTAACTTGAAACAACAGAGACAATAGAACCGATCTCCATGTGTTTCATAGGACCAACACCATAGACAAGTGGAACGATGATAAACTGTAGTATAAAGTTTATAAACAACTTGACAACTACAGTTGCAGATTGGTGGGTCATCTGGACCAATCAATTTAATATGACACCATTGCAGACTCTGTAGAAAAAAAAATAATTGACAAGAACTAGATTCCATCTTCTGAAATCGTTCCTCCTCCTCACCAACATTTTAGCTTTTGAAGGTTCAGCTGTTTTGAAAAGATATGGATTTCTGGAACAACACAACATTCCCCAAAATCTTTATGGTGGGCAAATCTAAATCCCAATGCTGACAGCACAGTTCTAAACAGACCTTTTCTTATTTCTTTAGCATGTTCAGACATGTGTTCCTTTATTGAGAAAGTAAAGGAAAAACTTAAAAGGACCTGATTGGGAATGAGATGGTCTCCTTTTATATGGAGTATGAGGGGGAGAGGGAGAGGGAGGGGGGAAAGGTAAAATGAATGCATGAATCCACCCACCAAGCTACAAACATATTCTGGCTACTCAGGCTTTGCGGTAAACCATAAAAAATAAGGATGACACAAACGAACAGGATCATTGTCTAGAGCAGGCATGTCAAGCTCGTGACGTCATATGACGTTGCGCGACATATTGGGACTTTTTCCACATTGCCAGCAATGGGGTGGGCGTGGTTTTGGCATGACGCATCCGGCCCATGGGCCGGCAGTTTGACATGCCTGGTCTAGAGTGCCCCTCTTAAATGCTGGAAGACCTCGACCTACAACCACAATTGAGCCCAGTATTTCTGTTGCTAAGCGAAACGTTTGTTAAGTGAATATTGCTGTATTTTACGACCTTTCTTGCCACAGTTGTTAAGTGCAGTTGTTAAGTTAGTATCATGGTTGTTAAGTGAAACTGGCTTCCCTGTTGATTTTGCCTGTAAAAAGGTTGCAAAAGATGATCATGTCATTCCAGGACACTGCAACAGTCGTAAATGTGAATCAGTTGCCAAGTGGCCAAATTCTGATCACCATGACCCTGGGAATGCTGCAATGGTCGTAAGTGTGAAAAACGGCCATAAGTTACTTTTTTCAGTGCTGTTATAACTTTGAACGGTCACTAAATGAACTGCTGTAAGTCAAGGACTACTGTAAATAAGTCAGCTCAAATATATTTATTTTGGAACTGAGGAACAGCAATGCCTTTCACGTCCAGGACTACTGAATGCTAGCAATTGGTGTTCCTCTCTCAGACATCCTCAGGATTTAGCTTCGGGAGATGATTTAAAACATGGATTCTGAGCATAGGTGAGATCTTGTCCTCCAGTCCTTACCACCTCACATTTGGCCACTATGTCAGCCAGGAGCCCTTCTACCTTTCCTCCTGGTTAAAATCGGTGGTGGTGCAGTGGTTAGAATGCAGTACTGCAGGCTAACTCTGCGCACAAGCCAGGGGTTCGATCCTGACTGGCTCAAAGGTTGACTCAGCCTTCCATCCTTCTGAGGTGGGTCAAATGAGGTTGGGGGCAATAATGCTGACTCTGTAAACTACCTAGAGAGGGGTTGTCAAGCACTATGAAGCGGTATATAAGTCTAAGTGCTATTGCTATTAATGGTGGCCCCTCTAGGAATGTCATAGGAGCTCAGCAAAAAATTGAGTTTAGGTGGATCACCCTAGCGCAGTGGTTCTCAACCTGTGGGTCGGGACCCCATTTGGGGTCGAAAGACCATTTCACGGGGGTCGCCAAACAACGCAGCCTGCCATTTTTCCCCCTTTTCCTTAGCTGTGCTACTCCCTTTTATTTTATTGTCTTTTGAAAGCCAATAGAATAGACTCTCTTGAATAGAGTCTAATTCTATTGGCTTTCAAAAGCCAATAGGAACTGTCCAGGCTGTCTCTGCCCTGCTGAGCCCACCAAAAGTCCCATTCTGCAAACGGTGCTGTACCAGTTGAGTAGTCCTCGACTTACGACCGGTTGAGTAGTCCTCGACTTACGACCGGTTGGGGATCGCGGCATTAAAAAGGTTGAGAACCACTGCCCTAGTGGGTGGGGGGGGGGCACCTCTGCTGTTGTTCTCCAGGCTTTGGCCTACAAAGCACAGGTTCCATTTGAGCCTGGAGCCATTCTTAAGCCGGGTGAGGCTGTGCTCTTGTGGCTTTAGAAACCCATCCGGTTCGCAGAGATGCCCTGGGTTTGCTAAATTAGGCTGGGCTTCATAAGAAAAGAACTCTGTGACTATTATTGCAAGGAGCCGCGGGCGGAGGGGGCTTTTGGGGTGATGGTGATGCTCCAGGGTATCCAAGGCAACAAGCCAGTCCGGAACTACTGCCCGCCTCAGAATAGGCAGCCGACTCTAGTGCTGACCTCGCGTCACCCGGGGACTACGGTACCACTTGGCTGCAGCAAAGGGAGCGGGCGAGAGATGCGGGAGCCGGGCGGCCACGGTTTTCTCCCGGCCGTCGTTTACAAAGCGCTCGCTTTTGTCCCTCAGCCCTACTGGACTCCAGGGAGAAAAGCGCCGGGGCGGCGGGCAACCCCGCGCGACAGAGCAAAGCCTAAAGGCAGCTTCCCCCGCAGTCTGGGGCAGCCCCATCCGTCATGTCTCCCGCGCGCCAGCCGGAGCGACGGATTTCCCAGCCCCGCGGCTGCGTTTCTAAGAGCGGCAGGTGAGAGAAAGAGGGGGAGCCCCGGCGGGGGATGGGAGCAGCAGCAGCAGCAGCAGCAGCAGCAGCCATTTGCTCCCGGCAAGATGCCGCCGCCGCCGCCGCCTGGAGCCCTTACCGTGGCATCTTCGCCGGCGTAGTGACTGATCACGCGGATCCCCCCCGGGTGCCTTTTGGCCCACTGGGTGATGTTGTACACCTTTCGCTCGATCACCAACCACTTGTCCGTGCTCAGGTTATGCTTCTGGATCTCTTCCCAGGTGTACGAAGGGATGGGCGCCTCCCGTTCGCCGCCGCCGCCGCCGCCGCATTCTTCGCCTTGCTCCCCGCCTTTCCCCATGGGCGATTCGCTCTCTTTGTCCGTCTCGCCCGTCTTTCTCTGGATCCTGCGGGGAGCCGCCTGGCCGAAGGAGAAAGGGCTGCTTTAGCCTCCCCCTCCCCACCCGACGTAATTCTGCGCCTTGGCTTGGCCCTCCTCCCTCTTTGTCTCTCTCTCCCCCCCCCCCGCCTGCCACCCGAGCGTGTGAGATTCTCCGGCTCCGCCGCCAGCTCGGAGTGCCCCCTAGGCTGCCGCGGAGGATTTTCCTTCGCCTATAATCCCCACGCCAGCCGGGGCCACCTCCGCCTCTCCATCCCCGCTCCAGAAAGCATCAAGGAGCTTTCCAGAGTGGATCAGCAGAGCCCGTGCGCCAATCCCCGCTCTCCCCCGGCAAAAGGATGGTCTGCCATTGGCTGGCGACCATCTTTCGAAGGTGAAGGCCGGCCGATTTCGGCTTACATTTGAAGACGAAGCCAGATGGGGCGACGCGAGCCGGCATTGGCCGACCTGCCTCTCAACAGATGTTGTGTGGAGGCTGCCGCCAGGCTCTTTTCGGCAGGAGTAGAGATGTGACGTGTCTCCGAAGTTCTGCCGTTTTGGTTCTCCCGTTATTTTTTACAACCCAGGCGGGTATAAGAGGAAACCGCTTTAAATTTAAGGCGGCTGGCTTTTAAAGGATGCTTTCCCCCCCCCCCACCCCCTCTAGCTGATTCTCTCGTTTTGCTGCCCTCTCGTTTTCCATGAAATGCAATGCAATGAAAAGGAAATGACAATTTCATTTCGTTTCTAAGATTACTTAGCGATCCCCTCGGAATGCTTAACCAGTGTTTCTCAACCTTGACAATTTTAAGTCATGTGGACTTCAACTCCCAGAATTCCACAGCCAGCAATGCTGGCTGTGGAATTCTGGGAGTTGAAGTCCACATGCCTTAAAATTGTCAAGGTTGAGAAACACTGGCTTAAGCGGATGCCAGAGGAGCCAATTACGTCAGCTTTCGCTGCCAGGAGAGCTTCGTAGCTCCATCGGATTTTTGATGGGCCCAATACTCCCCCAAAATGCCAGTTTACTCAAAAATCCCACCCGGTCGCCTTCCTTGTCTGTGAAGGAGCATCAGAGACTATAAGTAGGATTTGATTACAAAATGTTGTCGGATCATATGAACGCAAATTATTAGTCAGCAGGCTTTAATGGTAGAGATTTTCATTTTGTTGTTATCCAAACGATGCAAAGGAGTAACAGCAGTGTCTCTAGTGACATTTTTTCAATTCTTAACTCGTTGTATTTTGCACATGAGCCAGCTACCCAAATATCACAGGATGATTCTTTTTTTTTTTATGCAAAAGAGCCACGACCATCACATTTCTTCATCTAAAAACAAGGCATCATCAATGACATCAGTTTCTTATCTAAGATTCCATCATCTGAATCTTGGGAGGAAAGGATCATTCCATTTTTTGATAAGGGAGAAATGAAGATGGGACTGTGGGGTGGGGTGGATGTGAGGTAACCAACATTTCCCAAAGATAGAAGATGGTGAAGTCATCAGCTATTCATGTATGCTGCTTTAAGGTGCTGTGATGCAGACATCTTCTAATATGCTTTCATCCACCCCATCTACTATCCTTTTAGCTCTTAACTGACTCAAACTTTACAGTAATTAGCTTGTTTATATAATTAGCTTTTTGATATATAATTTGAGATAATAGACAGACAGACAGACAGACACACAGAGACAGGCAGGTCCCAGAACAGCAAATATAGATGTGCTAAAAAAAATTGGATATTCCTTGGCCAGGATTTTTATTCTTGTTGTGCAGACATCTCATGACCTTTGAGCTGCATATCAACTACCAAAGGTGGAGGCAAACAGCTGCTGCAATCTCTGTACATCTGGTTTCTTCTGGTATTTGGCAAGTAGAACAGGACAGTTGCCAACTGAGACCCATCCCTGAACATCAGTAGTCACAATGGCTATCAGAACAAAAGTTTGTATAATCATGAGTGAGTCTTTTGCTAGACTGAGCTTCAGCTTGTGTGCAAGACTGGTGTATGTGGGGGGGAGGGGGGGGAATCAGCAGCCCTTCAGCTTTTGCTGAACTCTTAAGTCCCAGAATCTCTTGCTTTCACTCATGGTAGATGCATGTCTGGAAGTTGTAATTCTAGAGAGCCCACAGCCTGAATAGATGACTGGATCATATAAAGCTTCCTCCAACAACTCAGAATGGCTCATATGAGACAATCTCCATTTTCTCCCCACAATTATTATATTGTATGGCAGATTGAGCTGAAAGAAAGTGATTAGCCCAAAGCCATTCAGTGATTTTTCACAGTGGAGGGTGGACTTCAACCTACCGTTGGATTACTTCGTCAGCTCAATGCTTTAACAATTTATTCTTTGTTTCTTCTGAAATGTATCTGTTATGACTGCAGAAAAAAAGGATGCCAAAGAAACTGATTCACCCTTTCCTGCTCATAAATATTCCATTTATTTTTCCCAATATAATACAATAATTGTTTCCCATTGAAATATACAAGCACCTGTAGGAAATATACTTGTCCATAATCAGCTTTAATTCTATGCACAGGTGTCAGAAAGAGAGAGATCCCTGGCTTTAGTAAAATACTACACAAATATCATTGTTCTTCAAGGTCATGCTCAGCTATTTCCTGTATCTCTGTGTTTTGTTTCTCTTTTGTAAATTATAAACACAGGCTCCTCTTTGCTTGCTTTCAAATACTTAGTGGGGGCTAATAGAAATGTGGAAAAAGGGACATTCCCCCAGGAAGAAAAAAAAAAAAACATTGCATCACTTCTCTCTTAAACTTCTCTCTTAAAGAGCTAGATCACATATAACAAATGATACCCACCCCCACCTGTCTGGCTGAGCTCAGCTAGTCTTCCACTTCAAAATAAACATCTGAAAAGCTTTCTCCAACCTACTGCCTTTCCATTAAGGACCACAGCTCCCTGAGTTGGCCATCCTAGCTGGGAATAGCTGGCAGTTATAGTTTCAACACTCGTGGGGGTTGGAAAAAACTAATCTGAGTTTGGCAGTCAGAGATTCAAGCAATAATTCATGATGGAAAGGCAAGTCGTTTACCCTTTTACCCTTACTCTGATTTAGGAGGATGATATCCAACTTGAAAATAATATCTAGTTTGAATGCCGGGATAACGTTGAATTTAGCCATAAAGCATACAATGTGCTTTACCAAGTGCAGATACTCCAGAACTCTGTGTACCTCTCAGGCTTCCCATTGCTTAAAGGTATCCTTAGGCTATGGTCGTTGCTATGCAGAAGACCAGTTCATCTTATTTAGTTGAGTTTCAGCTTCGGTTGCATCCCAAACAACATCTTTTTGTGAGGTATTCAACTTTGGCCACCGAAGGGAATACCAATTAATTCACCCTATTTTCTTTTAAGCATGGTGCCAATGGCCAATTAGGCAAAAGGTTACGCATTGTAGCGACAGTTTGAGAAATCAGCTCAGACTAGAGTTGCCCTGATTAAACAAGTGCTCTGTGTCCTGGAGAGGAGAGAGATTGAATGTGAGAGGTTGGTGGGTGGGAGAAATAAGAGGAGAATTACAAATAGGAAAAGGGAGGAAAAAGTGTGGCCCAAAAACTGAAAAGAAAGAAAAGATGAAGGAGGAATAAAATAGATGCTGTGAGGTTAAAATATAGAGAGAATCCTCTGCAGCTCAAGCCTCTTGCCGAAATTCAGAGTTCCCTATATAATTTAAGATATCATTTCCTTTATTTGGAAGACTTAAAATTGTCAAAAATGGTGTGAATTTCATTAAAAAATTAGGGGGTCTTCGCAAAGAACAGAAAAAGTCTTTTCAAAAAATACAGAGTAACTCATTGACTTCTCTTTAACAATTCCAAAATTAAAAGAAGCACCTGGCAAATGGAAGACCTGCTCCTCCTCTTCCTTCTTTGAGTAACTGTTGATTCCTGGTGGCTGTCTGGACTGGTCCCTGCAGTATTTGGATGTGGTTTGCCCTTGTCTTCTTCCTAGGGCTGAGTAAATGACTGGCACAAGGTTATTTAGCTGGCCTTCTGCCTGAGGCAGGACTAGAATTCATGGTCTTCTAGGTTTTTAGCTTGGTGCCTTAACCACTATACCAAACTGGCTCTCCTAGGTCACTCTACTAGACCCCCCGAAAAGGGTTAAGGACATTGAACAATTTTATATATTGCATAACCAGTTAAATATGGTTGAAGAATAATCCCACCAAAGAGGCAAGTGTTCAACCAGATCTCTGGCTCATTTCATGCCTCTATTCCTCATCAGCTCTTGTCCCTTTCAGACAGAAACAAGGCAATACAACACAGTCATTTTCCCTGGTGCTAGTTCTTCTGCATTTTTTAACCTGCCAGTTTTCTATTTATCGGAAGAGGAGTCCCTTTAGAAATTAGCTCAAAGAAGCGATTATTATAGAAATTCTCCTGTGGAGGCTGGTGTTCTTATATCTTTTTAGATACAAGGTGGATGAAAAATGTGAGAGAAAGGCTGTCCTGCCTTGCTTGGTGCAATAATCTTTCCAGAAATCTAAAATGAAATTTAAATAGAAATCAGGCTTCAATTTAAAGAGATAGGATCATATAGAAACAAAGAATCATTGGGTTGGAAGGAATCTTAGAGGTCTTCTAGTTCAACCTCTTTCTCATGGAAGGAATTCTCAGATTGTCCTAGACCAGGAATGTCAAACTCATGACATCACGTGATGTCACGCAATGTATCACGACTTTTCCCCCATTGCCAGCAATGGGGTGGGCGTGGTTTCGGCATGACACATCCGGCCTGCAGGCTAGCAAGTTTGACATGTCTGTCCTAGATCAATAGCTGACCAGCCTTTGTTTGAAAACATCCAATGACTGAGCCTCCACAACTCCAGGAGGCAGACTGTCCCTAATACAGTAGTCCTCAACTTAGGACCACAATTGAGCCCAAAATGTCTGTTGCTAAGTGAGACGTTTAAGTGAGTTTTGACCCATTTTACGACTTTTCTTGCCGCAGCTCTTAAGTGAATCATTGCAGATGTTAAGTTAGTGACACGGTTGTTAAGTGAATCTGGCTTTTCCATTGACTTTGCTGGTTGGAAGCTTGCAAAAGGGGATCACATGACCTCGGGACACTGCGACCGTCATAAATATGAACCAGTTGCCAAGCATCCAAATT